CATTACAGTGCCCAGAGCAGGGCCTGCTCAGGGGGTGCGGTAGGGACAAGAGGTGTGGTCCTACATCCAAATTGGTAAGAATTAGAACCCCACAGCCTGAGCCCAAGCCCACTTGGTCGCTAGGCAACCCTGATGGTGAGTGACGCGTGTCAGCTGTCACCGTGGGGGATTGTTTGTTCCAGGGGACTGAGTCAGCGCCAGGCAGTCTGGGGGGTAGGAGGCGAGACACCCGCCTCCTGCTGATGGTACCCGCTCTGGGGCAGGCAGACAGCACCCCTCCACTCCCTGCTGGACCCTGTCGCTGTGCCTGGCAGGCAGGTGGCTGCCCAGAGTCAATAGGGAGTTGGGGGTGCTGCTCCAGATGGAGAACAGGAAGCCCATGTTCTCTCCCTCCCAGCCGTCTGGGGTCTGGGCTGCTAGGGCGTGGTGGGCCTGCTGTCTCATCTTAGGGCTGCTGCTGGGGGGGGGGGTAACCCCAGAAGGCTTCTCCCATGCCAATTCTTCCAAGGTCTGTCCCATCATCCCCTCAAACACCTGCCCCCCCCCCAAGTTTCCCATCCCAGTGAGGATACTGCCCCACCAGGTGCCCTAACACACAAAGGCACCTTGGGCTCCTCTGCCTCTGCTCCGATGCTATTCACGCTCTCTGGAGTCCGGCTTTTACAGAGCTCTGGGATCCATCCACACCTCTACATCCCACTGCACTCCCTTCACTCAGGTCACCATCAGCACCAAACACTCTTTTAACAGTCCCCTCATTGGTCTGTTCTGAGTATGATAAGGTGGTTAAGGATTTTACTCTAGAGTCTGAATTAGAATCCTGGCTTGCCACTAACTAGCTGTGTGGTCTTGGACTAGTCCAGCGGTTCTCAACCTGTGGGTCGCGACCCCTGAAAATATATCCTGCATATCAGATATTTACATTATGATTCATAACAGTAGCAACATTACAGTTATGAAGTAGCATCAAAAATAATTTTATGGTTGGGGGTCACCACAACATGAGGAACTGTATTAAAGGGTCGCGGCATTAGGAAGGTTGAGAACCACTGGTCACTTCTCTGTTTCCTCGTTTGCAAAATGGAAATAATAGCTACATCATCGGGTTGTTGCAAGCATTAATGAGTTCACAAACATAAAGCCAGCTGGCCTAGAGTAAGCATCAGGTACATCTTGGCTGAAACTGTTAGCCAGTTTGTAACTCCTGCTCCATCAATTCTACGTCATCAACTTGGCTCCCCCCTCTGCTGCATTATACCCCTCAAATGGCTCCCATTACTTGTTTGTTCAAGTCCAAACATCTGGTCCAGCCTCACAGAGCACCCATGGCTGACGGCTGACCTCTCCAGCCCATCTTTCCCCAGTTTCTTCTTCCCACTCACCTCACACTTTCATTCTAGCCCCATGGAATCTGCAACTTCCAGAATATTCTTTCAGCCCTTTGCCTTTGAACCTGCAGTTCCTGCTGCTCTGACTGCCCCACCCCCACCCCATTTGTTCACCAGACAAACACCGGAGTCCAGCCGGAACCCTGCATCACCCCCACACTGGGTCAGGCACCCACTTCAGGTTCTCCCTGTGCCCTGCAGCCCGATCACCCTGGAATGCAGTCACAGTCTCCCAGGCCTGGGGCTCCCCAGGGCAGGAGGGTGTCGCAG